ACAACACTGGGCCAGAATGAGAAAGGGAAGATAGGCAGATCATGTGAGGAGATGACCTTGATCTTTGATCACTATCCTAACCTTGCCCTCTAACCTGTGAAACTCCTCAGCTCCTGGGAGAGCTGTCTCAATATATGCTAGAGACCCAGACCCCTAAATGATCCTTCTCCCTCATTCTGTTGTTAAGGTGGAGAGGACATGCGTCCCCTCTCCCTAATCTAGGTGTTCATAGATGAAGGATAAGTGGTCATTGTAGATGTCCATGGTGCCTGCCCCAGACTCTCCCTACTCATCCCATTGTAAGGGTAAGGCACTTGGTCCTGGGTCTCTATTCACCAAAGCAGATATGGCTTCTCATGAACCCTTTAGATCTCTGAAGGCTATTGGCCTAAATAAATGTGTCAGGGAGGCTTGTTGGTGGGTTAGTGGTCCTCAGGATGTGATGGAAATATCCGGTGTGTGAATGGAAGTTGGACTGGGAGGTGGTAGTCAAAGAACAAGTTTGAGGGAAGGATTGGAGCTGGGCAACAGGAAGGGGCATGAGACCATTGGCTCCACTAACTTTGTAGCTGTCTAGATAGTGTTTCTAGAGTGGGAGGGGGAGGGGGCCAAGCTGGGGCAGGGCTGCTTGGGGTTTGGCATAGGGGTGGGAAGGGCTACCTTGGGGCTCTGACCACTGTGTTATGTGTGGAGGGTGCTCTCCTGTCTCCCACAACTTCTGCTGTAACAATAAACTATAGAGGAATCTGAGCACCATTATTATTCTGTCTCAGTATGCCTGCATCATGCCCCTTTCCTACCCCAACTCTCACATTCTCTTCTCCAAGTGACACGAACCATGGGAGGGGGCTTGCATAGCATAGACACTTTACAAAATGTGATTTCACAGTCACTGGCCCTTATTCAATGGAATGGACAATGGTATTGTCCTTGATATTGATAATATCTTCACATTTTGGGAGGGGCTACTTAGATCTTAGAAGACTTCCTTATCAGTTATTGAGAAATGCCATGGGATTTCAGAGATGTCACCAACATCATAATCTTTTAAAATATATATATTTCTATTGATTTCAGAGAGGGAGAGAGAAAAACATCAATGATGTGAAAGAATCATTGATTGGCTGCCTTCTGCACGCCCCCTATTGGGGATTCAAGCCCACAACCCAGGCATGTACCCTAACTGGGAATCAAACCATGACCTCCTGGTTCATAGGTTGACATTCAATTAGGAGTCACACCAACAGAGCAACCAACATTATAATCTTAAAGGAGGAGGTACAGAAAACTGACTGACATGCCCAAAGACATCTTGTGACTACCTTCCTGCAGGATCCTCTGTGGGGTCACCTAGATTCCATTTTAGGTGGTTCAATACGATCAGCAGATCACACCTCATGCAGCTTCTAGAGGGCTTATTGGGTTGCTCAGTTGATCCCAATCTGAAGATTCCTTCAGGTGAGTCACAGCAACCAGGATTTCCTCTCAGGAATTCCTCCTCCACATAAATCCAAGTTTGGGCAGTTAATTAGACTATATCTGTGGTTCTTTGAGAACCTTCTCAACAATTATGAACAATAACCATCAAGAGAACTTTATGTATTTTGTGGCTGTTGCAGGCGGATCCTTGGGCTCTAGGGGCACAAGAAGTAAAAACGAGACGCACTTTATAATATTATTGTCCAGAGTACTGTGGATGGAATAGTACAAGGTCATTTGCCAGATTACATTATAGAAACCCCACGGGCAATTAGACACTTTCCTCAGTGAAACAGACCTGGTGACTAATGCAGCTGGATGTCTAGCGCTGACACACTGACGTGGAGGTGGGGCATGGAACACGCTCTTGATGCTTGAGCATTTCATCACTCTCATGGCACCGGACTATTTTAAACGCAGGAGGCCAGGGTCAGCACGGGGAGGGTGTTTGGTGACCACGCACAGGGCAGGCAGCAGGTGCTTAAACGTCACACCGAAGAAAAGAAACTGCATAATTGGAATCACTGGCATAGCTAGCTCCTAGGTAAACAAAACATGAAGAAAAGGCGAAGTTCCAGCCAGCATCAGCCTTGACTGGCAATAGCTGCTGCTGTGCCTTATGGAAGGGAAGGTGGGTCTTAGCACATTCAACTGCACAGCAAACACTGTTATGTTAGCAGAGTTATCTTCGGAAGAAGAAAATCTCATTTCTGTTTAAAATGTGAGTGTGTGTGTATGTACCTGCCATGGGGGTGGTATGTGAATTGGGTGATGATCATGTGTGTCTCTTGCCTATAGATGTCCCTGCATAAGAAGCCCAAGTTAGGTAGAGGGAGAGAGGCTCCCTGCTGGGTGCAAGGGAGAGGGGTGTGCTGTCCTTGGCTGACCTCTCTACTTTGTTGGTCCTACACATTCCAGGCGAGCCCATGGGGACGCAGTGCCCCCCTGTGGTTGTCATGGTTCCTCCTAACTTTCCTCAGTTCCGGGTTCCCTTCCTGAGTCTCCCATGGTCTTCCTGAATCTACACAGTAGTTACACAGTGCAGGCCTGGTACCACGTGGTGGCTCCTGTCCATTCTCGAGATCAGAGCTCAGAGGCTCACAGGAAGGGGGGAGGGGGTGACTTCATAGAAGCTGAACCACCAACTCCTTACCTTTTGTCTCTGCTTCAGCCTTAGGACTCCTGTTTCTCTCTTTCTTTCAATCTCAAGGAATGTGTTTCCCTGACTCTAGGGACAAAAGCCCAAGATAGCTAAGAGATGGCTCATTGGAAAGGAGAATAAAACTGTGGAATACAGTGATGAGAGCATTGCAGTGTCCGCTTGAAAACTGTGGAACTCATGAAGAGATTTTAAAGGGTAATTCTCTGAAGTACACAGACAGTGAAACTGTAGCAGGAGGGATAAATAATAAGTTTTGGAGCACTACTTGCCGAGCACCTGCAGGCTGGTGGTATTTCTCTATCAAAGGCCTCAGCTCTTAATGGATGGCTCTTGAGTTTCTGGTAACTGCTCCTTCTTTTCAGCCAAGGTAACAGCATTGCTATCACTCAGCCCTACGGTGGTCCATCATCACTTGTTGCTCTGTCCTAATCCTGGCCACACCTTCTACACACTCTTTTTATTAAACTTGCCTCAATTATCCAATGTGCTCTCTGCTTTCTCCTGAGACCCTAACACATAAGACAGGAGGAACAGGTAAGGTAAAAATGAGGAAGAAAGGTAAGAAAAAGATAATCTATATATTGAGGTTTTCTTAGCATCACAGAAACATGGGTTTGAAGCCTAGTTAGTTAGGTGATCAAGTTATTTAACTTCAGAGTGTGATTCCCTGGACTTACTATGGGGATAATATCTACCAGGCAGGGTTGGGAAGGGGAGATAATATATGTGGAAGCAACAGCAGAGTGCCTGGCACATAGCGGATGCTCCATGTGGAAACACTATTATCATGATAACATACTAGGCCCTGTTCTGTGTTACGTGTGAGTGCATTTAGCACCGAAGGGAAGCAGAATGGGATGGGCATCAGGGAAATTACATCCTCATCATTTTTATTTAGTTTTGCCTTTAGCTTGGCTTCTCACTGATCCCTGGGTTCATGAGCTGGGCTGGTGAGGAGGTTTCTATTCTTAATTTATAGGGAGGGGAATGGGAAGGACAGAAGACAGGAATGAAATGAGATGAGAATGGAACTGAGGAGACCTTGCCTATGTTAAGGCCACTTGAGCTTCTACATTGAAAGTATTTGAAGGGGCAAAATGGTGAGGGTGCCTGAGCTCACAGGGCACACCTCCTCTTTTCTTGTCTCTCCACCAAGTCTGAGACATTCCTCCACCTCGTTGGGTCATAGCCGTCCTGCTCCTCCTCAATTCCAGATAACCAGTTGTTTTATTTGTGCAGTTTTTAAGAGGAGCAGCACATTGTAGGGGTTACTTGCCTGAAAGACAAATGGTCCAGTAGAGTGGGGCCAGACGTATAGTGGCAGGTAGGATAGGCAGTTGCGACAGAACTAAGTAATCACCCTGGGCATTTATCCAGCTCCTTCTCCCTTTCCAAAACACTGCTTCTTTTTTTATTATTAAATTACAGTTGAAATAGAACATTATATTAGATACAATATATGTACACATAGTGATTAGACATTTATATAACTTATAAAGTAATCCCCCATAAGTCTAGTACCCACCTGACACCATATATAGTTGTTTTATCATTGATATTCCCTATGCTGTACTTCACATCCCCAAACACACTACTTCTTAATCCCACAGCACAAGGTAGCTAGATAGAGACCGAAGCTCAAAGACAGCAAATGTATCCTCGAGGCCACACAGGACTCAGTGTGAAAAACAGAAACCAGGTGGAAGTAGGCTCCATTGAGCCTGATCTGAAGTGTCTGTTGAATGTGTAGGTGGTTGATAATCTATTATCAGGGAGTGGGGTAGGTGTGGTTAGTGTAGGAAAAAAATGTAGATGCTCAATGTTTATTTTTAAACCTCTTCTCTAAATGCTGGGAACTCTGGCTCAGTATTTCAACACCTGTGGGTAAGATGGGAGCGGGCTGTTGGAATTTCAGCAATGCTCCCATGTCTGGGGGACATGGCTACAAGTGACACAATGGCTAGGGGCTCTGATTCCAGAAGAAAAGACTGCATCCAACACTCACCCTCCCCACTTCCTGCTCCACTAGGCAGCAGTTGGGTAACCCGGAGAAAGGAACTATAGCATGCTTGAAGGGGGAGGGTAAAATGGACATTTATTACAGACAGTAGCAAAAATGGAGCAAGAGTCAAATCTGCAGTGGTCTTTATATCAATTCTCCAAAGTATAGGCACTCAACCTGAAATAAACGCCCCTTTCTCAGTCCTGGATGAGCAGTGGGATCTCACGTAGGAGAGGCTGGGATCTAGTTCATGGGCATGATGCCCAGTGAATGCCATTTAGTCTCAGTGGAGAAATGTCTAAGGACCAAAGCCTTTCGGGAGGTGTCTCCTGGATCCATCAAAAAGTCAGGAATCTCTCAGGCCCACAAGGCAATTAAGGCCATGAAGGCAAAACCAACGGTTACACAGGCCCACTTGAGCAGAGGGGCCTCCGGAGCAGCCAGCTCCCTGGGCAGAATTTCTAGGAAGGTGACATACAGGAAGGTACCAGCTGCAACACCCTCTAACACAGCCTGGGCTAAGCCGTGTCCCCCTTCTGAGTCCCCGCTAGGCACAGCCAGCCCCAAGGCTATGCCCAGGGGGGACATGAGAGCAAATGACAGTATGCAGAACATGGCCCATCGTGGTGCAGTGCCTATCTGCACCAGCCGCAGTCCTACACTAAACACCACAGGCCCCTTGTGAGCCAGGACAGCAAGACAGAGCTGCACAGTAGATGCTACGGTTGTCTGCAGCCCCACAGCCAGACCTTCAAACACCGAGTGAAAGGAGAGTGAGAGCAGGAGAACGAGGGCTCGAAAGGGCTCCCGCGAGGGTGAGGGTGCGTGGCTGTGGAATCCATGGATGTGAGTCTCACTCACTTCCTCCTCCTGCACTTTTGGTTTTCCAATGGTTTCAGGACAGCACTGCAATGCCAGCGACTCCAAAGAGAAGACAAAGAAGAAGCCCAGGGAGACGATGAGCCCTCCATAGGAATATTCCTTCTGGGAACAGAGAGAGGGGCTGTGGGACGGGAAAGGAAGGAAGTGCAGTGGATGGAGGTGTGGAGGTGGGATGGGAGACTGGAGAGAATGGGAAATGTGGGACTAGAACTTTAAAAAGAGTAGGTGGCCTGACTGGTGTAGCTCATTGGTTGAGCGTCAACCCATGAACCACGGTTGAATTCCTGATGAGGGCACATGCCTGGTTTGCGATCGCAGTCCCCAGTAGAGGGCATACCGGAGGTAGATGATCAATGATTCTCTCTCATCATTGATTTTTCTACCTCTCTCTCCCTCTCCCTTTCTCTCTCTCAAATCAATAAAAATAATTTAAAAAAAGGGGGGGTGGGTAAGAGAATGAAGCCTGGAGGAGATATGGACATGCAACAAGAATACCAGAGGGACCAAGGTTGCAGTGTCAGTAGGGTTGAAATGTGGGAAAACGATGGGGAGCATGTCTAAGGATCTAGGGCAGTGGTCGGCAAACTGCAGCTCATGAGCCACATGTGGCTCTTTGGCCCCTTGAGTGTGGCTCTTCCACAAAATACCACATGCGGGCACGCATGTTCAGTGCGATTGAAACTTCGTGGCCCATGCGCAGATGTCGGTATTTTGTGGAAGAACCACACTCAAGGGGACAAAGAGCCGCATGTGGCTCCCGAGCCGCAGTTTGCCAACCACTGGTCTAGGGAAAGAAGGAAAGAGTAAAGCCAGAGCTTTGTCTGGGGTTCCATAAACCCCGAAGTATGGGGTTGGCTCCTCCTTTCCCTACAGTGTCTGAGCTGAGGAGCAGAGGGATTCCTGGTATTCCTCACGTCCTCTCCTCAAAAGGATCTGGGTATGAAGAGTCTCTGGTTCTCCTCACCCTCCAGGTTGGGTGAGAGATACTTACAGAAGCTGAATCAGCATCTCCAGAAGAATTTCCCCCACTCTCTGTCCTGTTCTAGAGAGAAAAAAGCAGAAATTAGATGAGGGGTGGAGCAGCTCAGCTTCCTGCCCTGTCCCTTCAGCTCCACTGCTTTCCTTACAGTCTAATCTGACCTGTTGTTATGATTCCACACACAGAGCTGTCATTGTCTCTATTGTTCCACCCATGTCCTTGGCTCTATCACTGTCCCCACTTCCTCCCCTTGGTTCTGCTCATCACCTGGCTTCTCAGCCCTACACCTCAGCTGCTCACCTTCACTCGGATCTGTCGGATCTCGAATTCAATATTCTCCAGGGCTTCAACAGTCATGTGCATGAAACCTGCTCCCAGGAAAATACCGGCAGAAACGCAGCCCAGGAGGCTGAGGCCCCGCGGGAGGTGACCTAATGAAAAGCAGGAGTTACAACCAGTTGGCAATGAGGAGATGGACAAAGGTGACTAACAAGCAACAAGGAGCACTCAACATCCAAGCATGGGGATGGCAAGAGAATCAGAGCAAGTGTCAGGGTAGGGTGATAGGGTTGAAGTCAGGTTATGGGGGCAAAGATACAGAAGGGCTATACCTCTGAATGTCTCAATCTGGAAACATCTGAAGCAGATGGGAATAAGGCCACAGACCAGCGTGACAACCAGCATGGCAAAGAGGCAGCCAATTTTTACTTCTAGTACTGGCTCCATCCTTGGGGTACAGGATAAGCAGACCTCAGAATGACAAATGGAGTTACAAGCTTTGGAGCAGGTGCCTTAGGTGGTCAAAGCTGTAGTGTCCACTCCTGAGCCTCAGGAAGCTGTTGGATTCTCTTTGTTTTGTGCTGCCTGATTGCACAGCCTTGCATAGCTGACTGGGGCCCTGCCTCATCTTCCTGCCCTCCCCCTACATGGAGGCCCCTCCCCTGGCTCATGCCTTCTGAACTTGGAAACCAGAAACTCCAGACTCCCTGCCAGGCACAGCCCTGTGCTACCTTCTCTTCAGTTCCATGACTAATCCAAGGGCTGTGGACTTAGCTCATGCCTGGGGCTGGTCTAATCCAAAATGGCACAGTCTCTGGTGCTACTTCCCAGTATTTTGTGTTGTGGACAATCTGGTCCTGGCTCACTCAGGACATTTGATCTAAGCCTTCCATACCCTCCCCACCCCAATGCAAGTCTTATAGGCTGCTATGCTGATACCTGAACCTTACCCTTTCAGAGGGGATTTGGGGCCACCAGGGTTAAGAAGGAGGAGGGGCTAAGGAGTGGTGCTGCTGCTACTCTGGGAAGTAGTGGATGAGGGGACTCCCCTTGCCTGTAACCCCAAAAAAATAGCTCCAGGTATGGAAATGTCTAGTGGGAGTTGAGATTTCTAGTATTACAACACTGGAACTGTTACCACTTCTGACTGTGCCTACTTCCTGATATACATTGTGGGTGAGGGACTGAGAGTTTTATTACACAGAAAGTTGCTCTAGCTCTGAAACAGCAAGGCCTGGGGGAACACAGAAATGAACCAAGTAAATGAAGGACCCTGCCTGGACATACCGTTGTTGAGATGGATGACTCAGTCCTGAAGGGATAGTTTCTTGAGGGACACTCATGAGGCAAACTCTGGGGAGCTGATGAACCCTGAGAGATAAAAGGAAAGGAAGGACGGAGAGAAACAGAGGCCACGCAGCTGCTGGTCACCTATCCAGGTGGCCCGTCTAACTACCCTGAGACCTGTTGAGCCAGTTCTCAGAGGCTGGGGGCGGCGTTCCCCACTACCCCATTATTTCCCTGGGAAGTCCCGGTCTCTGGGAGAAGCAGCAGTATTCTTACAGGAGGGGCTGAGCTTGAGGTTTCTGTGGGGAGACAGGCATTGAATCTTTGAGGACTCACTTCGTTACTGGATAGGCCGTGATGACAGACCTCTATACCTTTTAAGAATCACAAGACTTATTCCCATTCTTTGAAAAGTTATAATTCTTATTAAAACCTCAAACCAATGCAGATATATAGGAGTACCAGCACGCCTGTTACCGTGAACAGTCAGTTGGAGCGCTGAGGAGTCTCCTCATTGGCCAAAATGGCGCAGAGGGCGGGTCTTACACTGAACGCGCCAAAGGCTGGAAAGATAAATGGGCAGGCCCCGGGCGCGTGGCAAGCTAAAAAGACCAATGGACTAGACTCGAGGAAGATGAATGGACAGGGCCTGAGCGGGGCCCAAAGCTAGAATTGTGAATGGACAGGGCCCCAGCGAGCTGTAAGCTAGGAAAATAATTGGGTAGAAAAATAAAAAGCCCTTCTCTCCCTATTCCTGTAAGAATCACACAGCTTGAGCAGGAAGGGGGGATGGTCTTTGAGACAGAAGTCTACCATTCTCCCAGGTTGAGCAGCACCAGAATAAAACCTCTTTCCTTTTTCATCTGCCTCATGAGTTTGGCTTTCCTTGCGGCAGGCATTAAACCTGTTTTTTGTTACACTCCCATCCTGGATACCAGGTGGCTTTAGCCTTGGCAGGCACGATGCAAGAAAACTCTTGTTACACATCCTTGTTAACTCTCAGGGGGATCTTCAACAGGGGACGGAAGAAGCTCAGACGGCGTGGTCACAGGTAAAGATCTCCCCAGGAGCTGACACGGGCACAGCGATACAAATCCTTATGAAAAAGAGAGGTCAATGTGGGGGTAGGATCCTGCCACCTCCCACTAACTGTGGCCACAGCCTCCGTACCTGCCATGGCGGCGGGCTGTGAGCACAGCATGCTGCATATGCCCATCTGGACAGCACAGGTGACAGTGCACATGGCGTGGCCGTTTAAGGACAGGCTGAGTGACCCGGGGCCAAAGATTAGCTTCCTCTGGAGACCCCCGGGCAAGGATTACCATCGAGAACATTTCCTCCTTTGGCTTCTTGCTCTAAGGTAAGGGACTGTTTTGGGGGAAAAGATATGGGGGAAATGTTGACCCCCATTACTGCAACCCTTTTCATATTCTAGGAGGTCATGCACATTCAGGCCCTACAAACGCTCTCAGAATTTTCCAACTCCTCCCACCTGGTGCCATTTGTTTTGCCCTGAGGGGTCTGGAAAAAAGGAAGTTACAAGTTACCCTGTCATCTCACGATATGTTATCTTGGAGGCAAAAAGACAAATGGGCTCAGTAAAGATTTAAGTTGATCCTTGTCAGGGAAAATACTGGCCTAGGACATGACTACCCACCATAACTTGTTTGCAGTTAAATATTTAATTTCAGACCATCTTTTGTGGTTATTTTAGGTCTTTGAGTTTGTACAACCTCCATGCAGGCCTTCCCTGAACTAGTCAGTTTAGCATATGGTCCCTTTCGTCCGCACAGCCTACTCTCCTGAGAGTCACTTACTTTGTACGAGTCTTTTCAGTTTTCAAGGGAGTACTGGTAATTGGTGACAGATAGGTAGGGGTTGGGGGAAGAGGAGAAAGAACCTCACCTTAAGGACCAGGTCCCTGGCTTCCATGAAAAGGCAGTGTCCAGCTTTTGTTCCATTCTCCACCAATATCTGTTCACAAAGGGGAAAATGAGCAGAAGACCTGAATTATATGAAAATATATGAAGGGAACCAAACAAAGTTTTGCCACCCAAAAGCTACTGAAACAGGAATTTTTAAGGGTGAAAAAGACAGGTTTAGGGAATTTTAGAAATTAAGGGGATCATGGAAGAAGCACAGGGCTGCAGAGCAGCAGAAAGTGTATTTCCACAGAATAGGGAAGCTAAAAAGCTGCAACAGGTATATTTCCATAGAATGAGGGAGCTGGGAACAGCAAAAGGTCTATATTTACAAAATAAAGAGAAGAAAGCCTTTCATCCAGAAGGAGAAGAAGAAACCCCAAAGGTAATAGGAAAACAACAAGAAAGGAGGGGAGGAAAAACCTCATGTGTGCCAAGTGAGGTTCCACCTTGGAGCTCAGGAGTTACTGTAGTAACCAGCCTAAGGGAATAGTGAGCAATCAGAGGGGATATCATGGCACCAAGATCTGCAGTCTTTATAAATCATGGAAAGGGGAACTCTGTGGGACCCTTTTCCCCTCCCCACGTGGGAGTCTGTACTTGTTCTTTAATAAGTTTTCACCTTTGCTATACCACCTCTGTCTGTGGATTCATTCGTTGACTCCGACGGACAAAGAATCCAGGATGTCATGCCCAGTCCAAAAATTCTGCTTCACTACCTTTTCGAAATACTGATTTTAAGCTTTTTTTTTTTTAAAAAAACAAAAGGCTCAGAAAGAACCTTTGATCCTCCCATTTCCTGCCTCAGAGATTTAAATGCAAGGGGCTACTCTAGGAAGGGAATCTTAGGATATGTCTTAGTCTAATTTGAATTCAGTATGGTGGGTAAGAGGGTTCAGGTAGGGATACCCTGTTAGCTAGATACCCCGTGCCCCATTGTTTCTGAGTGGCCCAGCAACAATTTGCCTGCCATGTGTGTTCTACTCTTCCTCAGCTTCCTGTAAATTGCCCATTCTCACTTCTAACATCCATGTCCCCCACTTTTCTTCTTTATCCAAAATGCCACATGCTATTATACTCAGTGGTGCTTTACTGCCTTTGGAAGTTTTATGCCTATGTGAATTACTCATGCGCTTGTGAGAGACCAGTCGGGAGCCGAAAACCCAGATTACAGGCTTTATTAGGGGGAAAAAGACCTGCCGGTCTGTGGTCTGTCTTGCAAGGGGAGAACAGCAACCCATGCAGAGGTGAACACACCTTTTGAGGGGCAGAATGGGAAGGAATGGGGGCTTAGTGTACTCAGCACGCGCTGATTGGTGGCTTAATGTATGGTCCATATAGGAACAAGGGCTTAGGGTATTTGGCAGGTATTGATTGGTGGTTCAATGTATAGTCCATATAAGGTACATAGTTAGTCACTCAGGTATTTCCAGGCTGCAGGTTACATCATACTCCACCCACCAGTTGGGTGAAGGGAGGATCTATCAGCTTGTATTAAAATTTCATTTTTTTCCCTGTTAACCTATCTGTTAATTTGATTAGTAGCCCAGCTAGAAGACCTTAGAACAGCGGTTCTCAACCTATGGGTCGCAACCCCTTTGGCGGTTGAACGACCCTTCCACACGGGTCGCCTAAGACCATCCTGCATATCAGATATTTACATTATGATTCATAACAGTAGCAACATTACAGTTATGAAATAGCACCGAAAATAATTTTATGGTTGGGTCACAACATGAGGAACTGTATTTAAAGGGCCAGAGGTTGAGAACCACTGCCTTAGAAGGTGGGAGCAAAAGTATTATTATTATTATTATTATTATTATTATTATTATTATTATTTAGCTCCCATACATGAATGTCAGTAGCTCTGTAAGAGCATTCACAGATGGAACAGCAGTCCTAAAGGAAGTGGCAATATATATAAGATTGGGATGGTGATCCTAAAAGAGGGACAAAGGAATCTATGCAGGAGAAAAATTTTGGTCGAGAATGCAGACAAGCTCCAATGTAGAGAAGGAAAGGAATGAAACCCATGAAGCTGCTTTAAAACTTGAAGGGAAAAGTGGATTTTTACTCACCAGAAAATCACTTGTCTTGCACCACAAGGTTTAGACTATCTCAGCGTGGTCAGCCTTGCTGGACAGTTCACTTAGGGAAAAGGCTGATACCACAACATTGAACTGTACCTGAGGACCAAGACAAAGAACATGACAGACCTGCCATCTCCCCCTTCCT